AGCTCCTGGGTAATAGCCAATGGACCTGCTCTCTGACAGTGAATACATGGATCCAAGAGGAAAACCCCCTCCCCGCTCACACCACAACTTCCAAATCAAGCAAACCAGGCGGGCAGCACCTGGGTGACAGCCCCGTTCCCCCACACCCAGCTCTGCAGGGACATGGGCCGTGCGTCTCCAGCAGGTACAGACACTTCTCCAGACACATTGTCAAAGGAGCAGCTTGTTACACAGGTCAGATCTGCGCCTGGCTGCAGGGCTCTACTTACTCTCACCTCAGGGAAGTCATCCATGAGAGCCCCTTCCCATTTTTCGGTTTAAAATCTCTCTCTCTGAGACTGGGAGAGGGGAGTGGGCTCAGTACTGGTCACAAGCCAGTGCCTTAGGATCATAGGACAGCAGGACTGGAAAGGACTTCACAAGCTCATCTAGTGCAGCCCGCTCTCAAGGCAGGATCACCCCTGACTAAACCATCACAGCAAAGTGTCTGTCTAACCTGCTCTTAGAAGTTTCCAAAGAAGGAGATTGCAAAATTTCTCTAGGTAGCTGGTCCCAGTGTTTGACGACCCCCATACAGCTTCTCGCAGAGTGTTGCAAAATGATGTTGGAGGCGCAGATAAGGCCAAATGTTGGCTGTTTGTAACATCCAATCTCTGGGGCTCAGCTCCTCCATAGAAATCCTCTTTGCAGGGACTGAAATCAAGAACCAGTGCAACCACTGCCGCCCAGAGCAGGACGAGGCCCAGCCCAGCAGCACCGCTGGCCCCATGGCACTAGGAGTGGCAGGCCAAGCACTTCTGCAGCTGCTGGTTGGAGTTTCCCTGGGGGATTTCCCCCACCCCACAACCCCTCGCCCTGACAAGCTGCTTGCCGTGGGCTGTTGGTTTCCAGCCAGGACCCTCCCTAGGGCAGGGCTGGGCCATGTAGCTGCAGACTCATGGGCATCATGTGGCAAGCTTTTGTCAGGGCCCTTCTTGTTTGCTCGTCTGAGGAAAAGAGTCTCAGGCTCCAGTCTCCCCTTCCACATCCCCTCAGCACAGCCTTTTATGAGAGGTTCAGATGCCGGTGTCACACTGGCACACACGGCCATTCAATGCAGCGCCAGGGAGTGTCCCCTGTGCTGGGAGAGCTGGGACTGAGAGCTTGCCGCGCCGAGCGCGCCCAGCCTCTGTTTGCCGGGCTGAGAGCCGCCGTCAGTCCCAGCTGAGCTGGGCTGGTTGGACATCACTTGTGGCCCCGAGGTGTCAGGCTGGGCACTAATACACCCCCAGGGCAAGCAGAGCCCCTCTACGGGGCGGGGATGAATGTGCACCCAGGGATATATTTCCCATGTCAGGACACTGCAGCACCTCAGCGACGTCCTCCTCCTCCCCCACAAACACTGCTCACACCCGCAGTGCCGGGGAGCCCAGGGCAAGGCTGCTGTGCCTGAGGAGATGAGAAAGTGTTTCCAGGCTCCGGTGCAGGAGGCTGGGGCGTGGTGTGCCGTGGATTTGCTGAAGTGCCTCAGACACAGAGGACTGTTCCCCGTGCTCACTCACCATCTGTCTGGACCATTGCAAATGTGCTGGGAAAACATTGCATCATACCGGAGATTTTGCACTGGCCCGGATACCAACCGCAAGCTCTTCCGTTCCCTTCTTTTGGGGGGCCTGGGTCTTGAACGGGGTTGGGTGGGCATTGAACCCCTGCTGTGCAGTGACTGTGAACAAGTGCTTGAGGTCAGGGGGGCAAACAACCAGCCAGGAGCTCCCAGTGCGACGCTGTGAGGAAACGTCCCGGGGACGTCGGACAATGTAAAAGCAGCAGTGTTGGGCAGGGATGCTGTCTTTTGTACAGTGTCGGTGTGAGTGGTACTGGGAGCCATAACCAGGTCTGCGGGTCGCATGTGGGACAAGGGGGAAGAGGAGAGAGGTGTCAATAAGAACCTAAGCAGTGAGTCAAAGCCTGGTGAGAACAGCTCCCAATAGGCTGTCGACAATACGGCCCGTGAGCTGGATCCAGTCCCCAGAGCCATGTCCTGTGGCTTGCAGGGCTCCTGGAGGGGCCAGGGATTTGGGTTGGGACAAGCAGGTGAGGAACCGCCACTGAATTGCAGGGTGTGCAGCCACCATGGACGTGTGCTGCAGCGCTGGGGAGTGACTGATGGCTGCGTCAATCCCTGAGGCTCCCTGAGCTGACACCGATCTGCTCCAACCATGGGTGCCACTGCTCCCACAACTGGAGGTGGGGGTCTGGATCCAGACTGTGCGGATCCCTGCAAGCCAGATCTAGCCCTGAGTGCCAGGTGGGGCTAAGTGGGTTTATTCCCAAGGACCCTGTTTATTCCAGTGGAAAAGACTGGGAAGATCCCTGTGCTGCAGCAGGGATACAGAGCTGGGTCTTCCCATCCCACACCAAACAAACACAACACAAAACCCCCCAGCCCCTGGACCCCTAGACTGAGAGATCTTGAATCAGGTGACATCCAAATATTAGTCTGGAAGAGCCCCGTGGATGGAAGGTACGGGGGTTGGGAGGGTTTGTCCCCTGTTACTCAGATAAGCCTATTATAAGTGCCTCCTCATATACAGTGTGCTTGCACCAGAAAAATATACTGGGTACCAAAAGGCCCTGCCAATTGCAATGAAAAGGCTCTGGAGAACCTGCGTACTAGCAGCAATTCACAGCTGAGCCCTTCCCATCCCACTGAGTGCCTCAAGCACCACAGTATCTTTGCTTTTGCAACAAGCTCCCCATCTCTCTTCTGTTTCTCCCTCTGCTCTTGACAGAAAGAACAACCTGGAGCATGGTTGTTGGTTGTGGCAGTGGGTGTTTGCGCTCAAAAGCTTGCAAAAACATTTTTTCCAACTATATTTCCTAAAGATAGCAAATCTACCCAAAGCACCTTGGCAACCTGGAGCAGAAAAAGCTTTTCCCGCTGCAACTTTCTTGAAACACCTCCTTGACCACCCAAAGTTGACTCGCTGAGGAGCAAAGGTGTTTCCCCATTGAACAATGTAAACAGCTTCTCAAACAGCTTGACCTAAAAATGCTAAATGCATGGTTTCGTCTGTGTATTATAGACTCAGTTTTCTACAGAGGTGGATTATCTTGTCTTCCTTCTTTCCTTGCATGTCATGAGCTTGTGTTTGACACAGGTATATGAGATGCACACCAACAGTTATAAGAAAAAGAAACTAAAGCTTAACTTTATTATCCTACATCTACTCTTAACTTCTATGACATTTTCAACACTACATATTACAGTAAATCTATCTTCAACCGTACACATTGTTGTGCCTTTGCTTTCTTCTCTCCCTGAATGGCCCACAATGGCATTGAAGGCAGGCTACTAACACAACAGACACCAGGATGGTCTGACTATGTCCCGATGCCTCAGAGGAAGGCGAAAAACCCCCAGAACTTGGTTCCATAAATGAAGGGGGAAAAAATTCCTTCCTGGCCCCAAATGGCGACCGGCCAAAGCCCTGAGGCAGGGGTCACAAAATGCCATCCACACAACAAGAGCGTCCTCCACTTGGCAACCTGGGCTGGAAGAAGATGTTCAAGTTCTTTACCACGAGGGTTTCTCAGGCTGCTCCTCTTGCACAGGTTGACGTGGCTGTGGAGGACGGCTCGGACTGGATGATGACTTGTCAGTTGGTGACGTGTGCGGTGGCTTCGGCGCTGTTCCAGCTTTTCTTTGTAGCTGCCGGGCTCCCGGGGAGGTTGGGGAGGTCGAGCAGGGATACAGAGCTGGGTCTTCCCATCCCACACCAAACAAACACAACACAAAACCCCCCAGCCCCTGGACCCCTAGACTGAGAGATCTTGAATCAGGTGACATCCAAATATTAGTCTGGAAGAGCCCCGTGGATGGAAGGTACGGGGGTTGGGAGGGTTTGTCCCCTGTTACTCAGATAAGCCTATTATAAGTGCCTCCTCATATACAGTGTGCTTGCACCAGAAAAATATACTGGGTACCAAAAGGCCCTGCCAATTGCAATGAAAAGGCTCTGGAGAACCTGCGTACTAGCAGCAATTCACAGCTGAGCCCTTCCCATCCCACTGAGTGCCTCAAGCACCACAGTATCTTTGCTTTTGCAACAAGCTCCCCATCTCTCTTCTGTTTCTCCCTCTGCTCTTGACAGAAAGAACAACCTGGAGCATGGTTGTTGGTTGTGGCAGTGGGTGTTTGCGCTCAAAAGCTTGCAAAAACATTTTTTCCAACTATATTTCCTAAAGATAGCAAATCTACCCAAAGCACCTTGGCAACCTGGAGCAGAAAAAGCTTTTCCCGCTGCAACTTTCTTGAAACACCTCCTTGACCACCCAAAGTTGACTCGCTGAGGAGCAAAGGTGTTTCCCCATTGAACAATGTAAACAGCTTCTCAAACAGCTTGACCTAAAAATGCTAAATGCATGGTTTCGTCTGTGTATTATAGACTCAGTTTTCTACAGAGGTGGATTATCTTGTCTTCCTTCTTTCCTTGCATGTCATGAGCTTGTGTTTGACACAGGTATATGAGATGCACACCAACAGTTATAAGAAAAAGAAACTAAAGCTTAACTTTATTATCCTACATCTACTCTTAACTTCTATGACATTTTCAACACTACATATTACAGTAAATCTATCTTCAACCGTACACATTGTTGTGCCTTTGCTTTCTTCTCTCCCTGAATGGCCCACAATGGCATTGAAGGCAGGCTACTAACACAACAGACACCAGGATGGTCTGACTATGTCCCGATGCCTCAGAGGAAGGCGAAAAACCCCCAGAACTTGGTTCCATAAATGAAGGGGGAAAAAATTCCTTCCTGGCCCCAAATGGCGACCGGCCAAAGCCCTGAGGCAGGGGTCACAAAATGCCATCCACACAACAAGAGCGTCCTCCACTTGGCAACCTGGGCTGGAAGAAGATGTTCAAGTTCTTTACCACGAGGGTTTCTCAGGCTGCTCCTCTTGCACAGGTTGACGTGGCTGTGGAGGACGGCTCGGACTGGATGATGACTTGTCAGTTGGTGACGTGTGCGGTGGCTTCGGCGCTGTTCCAGCTTTTCTTTGTAGCTGCCGGGCTCCCGGGGAGGTTGGGGAGGTCGTCTTTGCTCAGGGACGTGCTGCCTGAGTCAAGGTGGTCTGCAGTCGTTGCTACGCAGTGTAAGAAAAAGCAGCACAAGATCAGATCCATGCATTGGGACTGTGATACAAGGCTGTGATGTGAGGAAGTGGGGACTGGGAGCTTTCCCGAGACACAAAGGCCTGAACATGTGAATGAGGGAAAACACAATAGCGCGTGCTTAGCCTCCTGCATGGAAGAAGCTGAATGTCTTTAGGCATCACTGCCCAGCCACATTCAAGATGAGGTAGATGCTCTGAATGGACAACCCCAGTGCCAAAAAGCCATGGCTGAGAGAGCTACAAGCAAGGGAAAGCAGGTCTCTGACTGTGTGAGCCACAGCAGCATTTAACAGGAGGCAGAGGGTCCTGTCTGTCCTGGGATTGCTCAGCCACTTGGGAGAGGTCCCGGGGCTCCTTCATGAAAGATGGCAACACCCTGCAGGGCCACCCACGCCACCCGGGGCAGAGGGGAGGTTTCCCCAGGGGCAGCAGGGCACAAGGAAAGGCTCCTGCCAGTGAGAGGAGAAAGGAAAGACCTGTGGAGGACGGACGCTAGGACAGGACTCTCTAGGGCAGAGGGGAGAATTGCCCCCACGCGGCAGGGAGCAGGTTTGTGTTAGTGCCAAGAGCCTCCCCGTCCCTTCCCACTGATCCCTGCTCCCCAGGGGCAGAGGGGACAGGACAGTACCTGCAGGAGCAAGTGTGGGCGGCTGGAGAGAGGCGAGGGCGCTGGAGGAGGTGACCAGCAGGCTGTGCCCTTGCAGATCTTTAGGCAGCTCCTTCAAGCCGGTGATGATAAACAGCTTGTTCAGGACCCTGATGGGGATTTCTTTCTCCTGTAGCAGCACAATAGCCAGTCTGAGCCTCTGCTACCCCCCGGAAGGACAGGGGATATGGGGAGGGGTCATGGGGCAGGGACTGGACTGAAACCAAGGGGTCTTGGTAACAGCCCAGGGAAATGGGGACAGGATCCCGGAGGGACCTTTTTCTGAAAGACGTGGTGAAGATGGGCGTGGTGGCCCAGGGCAATGGGGCAGATCGGCAGTGCCAAGTGGCTGAATTCTCCATTCTCCCTAAAGCAGGTGCAGACTCGGGGGCAGCAGGAGAAATGTAGCCATGTGGGGCTCTGGGGAGCTCCTAAGAACTCCTGACCGGAGGCTGGGAAGGGGAAGTTTGTCCAGAGGGGACACACACTGTATCTTTAGGCCTGGCCAGAGATCTTGACCCTGAGGGGCATGACTTGTAAGAGACAGGCTGGGACCATCCTGCCCAGGCAGATGAATTCATTCTTTTCTCCAAGGAACTTGGCAGACCTCCTGTTCTGCTAAATGCCAGTTTGCTCAGAAGGAAAGGGAGATTTGCACCTTCCAGAGAAGGGAAGGTCATTAATTGAGTTAGTCTGTGAGGTGCAAATGGATCCCACCACGACCTAGAGCTCAGACTGCAGTGTGCAGTGACTTCTCTCTGGTCCATGTTGTCCCCAGGCAACAAGTGGGGATGGGATGACAGCAAATTTATGTGACAGAGGCGAGGGTCCCTGAGCTCACTCTCCACCCTCCCCGCACTTCCCAACGTGGCTGCTGACCTTGTGTCCCATCAAGCAGCTGGCTTCCCCCAGGATTGCATACAGGAAGACAAGCCCAGCTTGGCTGATGTGCATCTGTCCACTGTGAACTGCAAGAAGGGCCCTCTGCAGGAAAGATTTTCTCTGCTCCTCCAGCAAGATCTTTGTCAGGCCCTGGAACAAAAAGATGCAAGGCTTGGCACATCCTACCGAAACCCTACATCTCTGGGGCCTGGCACCACGGCACCCTGGACACTTGCAAGGCTGTAACCCACTGCAGGAAGACCCCTGCAATCTGGACACAAGCATCAGGCCTTCCTCTGCACCCCTTCATCACATCATCCTCACCTCTCCCACTCTCGCCAGGTCCCTGTACTTCTGGACCTGGCTCTGCTCCATCTGGTGCTTGCACCGCAGCTCCTCTGCCCCTCGCATGTCTTGTCCTAGGAGAAGTGGAGCTGCCATCCTAGATTTGGTGCTCAATTGTCCATCCAGTGGGGCTCTGGCTACCCTTTTGGCAGCGTGAAGAGCAGGGCCCCAGCAGGGAGGGCATCATTCAGCAGGAGCCAACCGGGACCAGGCATCCTGGGACTAGTCTGGGCTGGGGGCCTTGGGATAGGCTCCCTGGTGCCCGCATGGGACACCCAGGACTGGTGCATTAGCACAGGCTGCAGGGCCACAGCTGGGCGCTGAGGTGCAAAGGACAAGGTCATTAACACAGACACCCAGAGTATTTCCCAGGTTGGGAATGGACAGAGTGGGACACAGCATCTGGCCCCGCACCTGGGACCAGGCCTTTTGAGGGAAACCATTGGCATCAGAGCCTTGTACTCCACCTGGGTCTCCTTACCCCTCTGGTGAAGGAGGATTTGAGCGAGCAAATACATGCCCGCCCTGGCCTTGCAGCTGATGGTCTTCTCCGGGTCGTTGATCACCAGACCCAGGCAGGCTGCCATGTCTCCAACCTCCGGTATGTCAGGGGAGCCCTAAGCAGGGGGAGAGGAGCAAGGAATCCATGCATGTCCCACCTTCCCTCCCCACTACATTCCCCAGGCCCGGCTGTCTCTCTCCATCTCCCCCCATTACCCAGCAGGAGGGTAGGGAGGCAGACACCACAGTGCCAGAGCATGACACCCCTCTCTTTGCATGGGAACCTGAAGCCCAGGGACTTGCTCAGGGTCCCAGGATGATTCCCCATGACTCATACTCCAGGGCTAGAAAGGCCCCATGTCCAGGGCTGACCATGCCCAGAGCAGGCCATGGAAAAGAGACCTGTAAAGAGCCAGGGGGTACCACTGAGGCAGAAGCAGAGGCCTTGGAGTGAAGAGCCTTGTCCAGCTCTAACACCACACTCCCAATGGCAGGGCACCAGGACACTGAGGTCGGGGCTCACTGACCTCAAACTGTGGGAGGAGCTGTACAGCAAAGGCAATGACACCAGTAAACATCTTCATGCCCAGTGCACGGTGCTGGGCATCCGACGGCTCAATCCATGATGTAAAGTGCTGTGGGAGGAAGATGTTATGATCAATGGGCACGTGCCCTGCCTAACTCAGCAGCCTTGGCATCCTCCTCCTCAGGGCCTGGGTTTCAAGCTCAGACTTCTCCATTGTCCTTACACTTTGAGAGAGGCTTGGTGCAGTGCAGAAGGCAGGAGCTGTCCTGGCCCGAGCCCAGCCCCTCTGCACGGTGCTCACCTCCCAGATGGAGTAGAGCTTGGCCAGGCTGGGGGCGCTGGACAAGACACAGCACAGCAGGCCCTCCAGGTACTCCTCATACAGCCGCTGCAGGACCTGGAAGGGGAGGCAGACCCAAGGGTCAGTGCCACAGAGCCTGGGGCCTTCCTGCCAGGGGGTGGCTTGTGGGACATGGCAGTGGCAGGGGGACCTACCTGGTTGCGATATGGCCAGGAAGCTCTTCTCTACGGCGGCCCACAGGAGGCGCGACTCCAGCGCTGGCTCCAGGCTGAGCTTCGGGTCACTGTGACGAGAGAGGAGCCTGCGTCAGATCGAGCTATGCGGGGCGGCGGTGGCACTGGGGTGGCAGGAAACAGTCTGGAAAGCTGGGCTGAGCAGTGGGGATCCCCCTGGCCCAGGGCAGAGCAAGGACAGTTGGGCAGAGGTCCCCATACCTGAGGCAGAGGATGGCATCTATGCTGTACGCCAGGATGTGTTTTCGGTCAGCCTCCACTGAGATGTTCTCCATCAGGTCCTGTGAGCCCCAAAAGGGATGGGGAGGTAAGGATCAGCCACATCCCCCACGGGAGACCACCCAGTGCTGCAGGTGCAGGCAGCAGGATCCCAACCAGCCCCCTCCCACCCACCCAGCTGGGCTGGCCCTCTCCCTCCCACGGCCTTGCAAGCATGGCACTTAAACCTCTCCTGATCCCACCCTCACCTGCCCTCCAGATGCAGGATTGCCCAACGCTCAACATCCAGGTCAGGAATCGACCACTATCTCCCTCATCTATTACCCCCACGTAATGCCCAGGCCCAGGCGCGCCTGCCCTTCTCCCTCTCATCCCGCTCCACCTCTCCCAATCCGCTCCAGCACGGCTGCTTTCGTGCCCTCCAGCTGCACAGCCACCGCTCTGGTCTGGTCCACGGCGATGGTCAGGCTGATGACTGCCAGCAGGAAGCGCTGCCTGTCCTTCC